GATCGTCACGGACGTCCTCAAGTCATATAACGCAGAAGTGAAGGATCATTGTGATCCGCGTTCGAGATAAGAGCCTCGGCGGGCAGCCCTAGTCGCAGGACGATGATTTTTCCCGTCGCGAAATATTGCATTCACGGCCACCAGCCGCACGGTAATTACGGCGAAAATATGGCGTTCCCTGTTTATGATGAAGCGCGCTTTCTTCCTATCGATCGCAAGGGAAAATGATTAAACCGCGCGCGAGGATGGGAAATTTTTCATGGGGATGAAATACCACGAGCTCCAAGGCTATACAGCGTACATTGTAATATTCCGTTAATGGTATAGGCGCTGCGAACTGTATATTAAATGCTGGATATAGGGTGGTTCTCGCAATTGAAACGAAATGTACACTCTTTTTATTGCAATTGGAAGAATATATCACAATTATTGAAAAAATTGAAATCCGTATGAGTATTTGGTCGCTTCGTTCGTTTCTGCGCTGTGATATAAACGTACCTCTATTTACGCGAATATCTTTTTCACGCAAATTATAGTACTATTTACGAGCTATTGAAATTCTTTTAAATAAAATTTAATTTGCTTGAGAAAGGTTTTTGCCAATAATTCAATGGATTTTATTGGTTTAAGTAAGGTTGTGTAATATTTTCGGAAATAGTTTATATTAATGTTAATAATTAAATCATTTATTTTGAATAGTATTTAAGGAGGATTTATACTGATAAATAGATTTTGTTTGAAATTATAAGGTTGAATAATATTTTAGAGTGGTAATACTAAGGACGAGATGTATTATTAAAAGAAAGAAAGTTTAGTAGCGTTTTAATTAAATCAATAAATTTATGAAAGCAAACTGAATTTAAAAGAGTTCAGTTTAAATTTAAAAATGAAATTTACTTTCTTTTTCTGAAATATAATTAGTATTATTTTTTTATTAAGCTGTGTGATATAAATATGTCAAACTTGTACCACCTTTTCTTCCCGAACATTTTGTTTTCCTTCGTATTGACAGACTCTGTTTAAATGGAGGGGTAGCTCATTATCATTTGCAAAGTGAAATGATATAAAGAAGAAACGTGCACCAAGACAAGCACCATAGTTTGTTATATTTTGCATTGCAAACTTTTTAAGGTACTCGTACTCTCGAATTTTTCTTACGGTAACTAGTTCGTCGTACTTCGCCTATTGCCATCTATCAAACTTTATCGTAATCGTATCTGATGGTAACTTTTTAACGCTGGATTTAACGCCTGAAAGTTCATGTAATTGCTTTGTCGTCGGTCATGCGAAATCTGAAATAATTTACATTTAAGTAGATGAAAATTAGTGAAGCATGCTGCGATGGTCCGCCTTTTTACGAGGGCCGGAACAATTCGGAAGTTGCGGAGTTTAAGTCTCGTGTAAGAACTTCGTAAGAGGTCGGCTTTAGCATACTGCTGGCGTTTAGATCCGGGAAAACGGGCAAGTTAGATGCGGTCAGATATTCTGTGAGAAGTTATTAAGTAACGTAAAGCCAGCTGCTCCTGGCGTGCATACAAGGCGTTTCTCGTAAAAAGACACCCTTATTGTTTGTTATTATAGTTTTGTTAAATAACTTTGTTATTCCAATGTATTAGATCAATCTGATGTTAATAAAAAGATATTGCTATTCGGAGTTTGAATAAGAAAAATGACAACCAGATTTGACAATGAGTAATTTAGGGTAATTCCAGGATAGATGACCACTTCAATTATCTTGTCTAAATAATTGATACAATTATTATAAGAGACTCGCGTAAAAAAGGAGCAGGGTAAATGGAGGGTGTAATGCAAAGGTTAAAAGTTCGAAGCTGATCCCTAATCGAATACTTCTAATCAGCAGCGTATACACCAAACGAACAAGTACCGCCTCGTACATAATACCTACCCCCAAACGACACCAGCATCAAATTCGTCTTTTCTTCGCACACATTCAAAGCAGCCCTTAAGCAGTATAAAGGAGGATAGAAAAAATTCTTATCACTCCCTGAGACAGAGATGAAAATTTAGAAAGTAGATGGTTGTGATTGGCTTTTCATTAAACTTACAGTCGAATCTGGATGAGTAGAACCTCTATAATTCGAAAACACCTATAACCCAAAAATCTATGTAACGAAAGCTGTCTTCCTTCCCTTCAGCTTCGCCATAAAAATATCTACACCTTGAAATACAGAAGCCATACAAGTCGAATTATTTTCCCACTCCCGAACGACATCAGCGTCAAATTCACCGCCCGTTCACATATATCCAAAGCAGTCCTTAAGCAGTATAAGGGAGGCTAGAAAAAATCCTTATCACTCCCTGAGACAGAGTCGAAGAGGTCCTGGTCGCGCAGGAGGTAGAGAGAGTCTCCTTTCGCGTTTCCATGGAGACCGTCTTTCTATCTCCACTGTTTCTCTTGCCTTGCCTCCT